TAATTTCAGCAGCATTTATTTTAACGCAATCTTATATGTAAAATTAATTAAAAATTAGTTTAATATCAACGAATTTTACGGCACGCTATCAATTAAGTGATCTAGTAAGATAAAACGGATTAGTACAAAGTAAAAAAGCTGAGGATTGAATTTCCAGCCGCAGCGGCAGCAAAAAAGTGGATTAGGAAAACAACAAAAGATTGTGCATCAGAGGAGTTGGGTGTGTTGCAAAAGTAAGGTAATAAGAAAAAATACCTCACAAATGAAATATTTATGTATGCTCATGTGGAAACATGATTTTATCCAGCGCTGTGCCACTCCTGGTCATTTTGGTTGCATGTACACATGCTTACATTCATAAGTATATAGTGAAATTTGTAAATATTCGTGCAGTAGTCTGCGGTGCAATCTACTCTTGTAAAAAAAGTATTGTGATAGCATAGAAGGTAAACGCTGGAATTGCATCATTGACGAAAAGCTAGAAAACCGCTGGAGCCCCAGTTAATGCTATTGATATAAGTAATAGTAAGGCCAATTGCGTCCCGTACAAAAATAGAAAATTTGGCCGGCGGCCGTAGCGTGGCTTCCCCCGTCCGAGTGGCGTCGTCGGCAAAAATAGAACATTATCGCTGCCGCTATCTACGATGGCACTGTAGCGTTTTAGCGTCCAGTGCGGAGTGTTCAACTTGTCCGCCTTTCCTCCCATTCCTTACAAGATCTATTTTGGTTGATGTGTCGCTTTTTAGTTTTGCGAATCATGTCGCCGTCGGCCAATTTCGTTTTGCTTTGTAGCCATTCACTCAAACAGATGCCCATTATTTTATTGCTTTTTTGATTGGTGAACGTTTTGTGGTTTTACTGTCTATGGAAAAGCCATTGGTTGTTTGGGTAGAAGCGTATTTTTATTTTATCGCTAGAAAGCAATATTTTTTTTATTAATTCTCTTGGGGCTATGTATGTATGTATGTATGTGTAATTGGGAGCCCTCTCAATTCAGTTTTTTGTGTTATACGGTGTTCACATGAGGCGATTACTTAGTTGAATCAAAATTTAACCAATCCCTCTGCTGGGGAGTGTTGCAGGAGTGGCAGTCCTTGGCCAAATATAAATCTGGGTCGTTCCCGGTATATAAACTCAATAGCCGCGGTAACGACCCACTTCATTGGAAGGGATTAGTTGAAAGGCTGTTTACAGCAGAAATTCCCAAATAAGTCTTGGGCATATTACCACTTAGAAAGCGCTTAACCAAATTGTCGTGTGAACGATCCAACTGTAGTATGTATGTACTTCAATATGAATAAAAAGTTTGCATCCAAAATTTTTGTGTATTATTTGGGTGGTATACAAATCCAATAATAATAAACCTTCCTCAACAATAACTTGTAATAGATTTAATTTTTTCCGGGTTCTATAAAGTTCCTTTAATATGTTTTACATTTTGGCGGTTGGAAAAAGTTTAAGTTGGAACCAAAAAAGACACACAGGTTTCAATCATTCGTTAGGCAACCTACATATATAAAAAAAAAATAATAAATTTGTTTAAAATTTATTATTTATTATAGTCAGACGGGTGAAAATTGCTAACGTATTATGTCAAATTGTATCACTATTGCCCATACATACATACATGCACATGCATACAAGCGCAGTTGCCACAAACGCTAGCGCAATATATACATACATACATACATATCTTTGTATATCGTCATTCCATGTAAAGAAAAGCGAGAATCGTAAAGGCGGTTAAGTGGCGAATTGTATTTAATTAAATATGCCATCCATTCTGCCTCTTAAAGCAACAACAATCACTCAACATTCTACTCATACAGCTTTCGCAAGTGAAGTTTAATTTATTTGATTACACAATGTTTACTGACCATATCAACTATAGATATTCTTCGTTGTCTTTTACTCCACCCGCAGATGTCGACAGGAAGGCCCATTAAATGTGTCGTAGTTGGTGATGGTACCGTTGGCAAGACATGCATGTTAATATCATATACCACAGACAGTTTTCCCGGTGAATATGTGCCTACAGTGTAAGTATTGCAAAAGGCGTAACTTTTATTTTACAATTTTATTTTTATTTTTTTATTTTTTTTTTACTTTATTATACTAATATCATTTTTGCTCTTCCACTAGATTCGACAACTACTCTGCGCCTATGACTGTTGACACAATTCAAGTCTCACTTGGTTTGTGGGATACAGCGGGTCAAGAAGACTATGATCGCCTGCGTCCGCTCTCCTATCCACAAACCGATGTATTTCTCATATGCTTCAGCGTGGCCAGTCCATCTTCGTTCGAAAATGTCACATCGAAGTGGTATCCAGAAATTAAGCATCACTGCCCCGATGCACCGATTATATTAGTCGGTACGTATAAAAAATGCGATAATGTACCCTAGAGCATTGCCTTCATACGGATAATTTTTCATTTAGGCACTAAAATCGATTTACGCGATGATCGCGAAACTCTCAGCGCATTGGCCGAACAAGGTTTGGCACCGTTAAAACGTGAGCAGGGTCAAAAATTGGCGAACAAAATACGCGCGGTCAAGTATATGGAATGTTCTGCACTCACGCAAAGAGGACTCAAGCAGGTATGTATGGGCAGTTATTGCAATTATTATTTGACTTTTTCTAAACAAATACTATTTTTTAGGTCTTCGAAGAAGCAGTGAGAGCTGTGCTCAGGCCAGAACCACAAAAGCGACGTCAACGAAAGTGTATAGTCATGTAAGAAGTATGTCATTTCTACAGTGGAACAAAACATCAAAATTAAAAAAAGAAAATCACTCACATACCTTAGACAGCAACATACACAAACACAATCACGGAGTCAACTCATCTCTAAGCAAACACCAGCTCAAATATTTATTGAAACTTAAAGTCGACTGATATTAGTTTTGAAGGCATCGACACCTCGGGAATCGTGTTTGTTTTCGACAAGTTCATTTAGTTTCTTAAAAAGTAAACAAAATTATGAATCTTTTTGTTTCTTACTAAAATCATGGAAACAGCGATTCCAGGCGACGATATCCATTTACCATTAAAACTCATTTCTCCGTGCTGCAAATGCAGCTTTTTTCACTGAAACATTTAAAATATTATTTCTATTTTTGAGTAAACGTTTTGCTGCTAAATAATGCTGTGCAGCTACTAGTATTTGATTTTAAAGTAGGTCATCCATAATTAGCATTGTCCAAGGCAGTTAAATAGGTGTATACATACAGACCAATCAGTCTCACTTTTGTCATAAACTGCAGCTGTGTGGAAAAAATAGCTTATCTAGTCAATTGTTTAATGCGACAAAATTAAGAGTAAAGTGGAAATTAAATAAAAGCTGGGTATTCAAAGATGTTGCATAAAAAATATTGAAAATATATATGGCAGGTTGACCGTTATAAGGAATACCGACTTGAGCTTAGACAAACAAAACTGTCACTACGTGTTGTGACAAACCAATTTTTAAAACTCACGTTTAGTTAATGCCCCCTTTTCTTTTTAACGAAATGCCTACTTTTAGAAGTAGACATAGTATATTTACATACATTTATAGAATGTTGCACAAATGTTCTTTTATATTAGTAAACAATTAAGATATTTAAATTCGTTATAAACAACTAATTCAGCCAATGAACAATCACTGCATTCATAGATCACTCTCCTTCTGGCTCGCTCTGTTGCAGTGAGCTAAACTACTCAAATATGCATTTTACATTGTTAATCTCGAATTAATTTCATGGTATGCCTAAATATGTTTATTTATATCTGTACTAATATGTATGTATGTCGCAACTAAACACTAACGACTGTTTTATGTAATACTTATTTATATTTTATTATATTTTTTTTATTTGTCCTTTCTATTTATTAAGTATACGTATCATGATTTGGTTATTGTAAAAGTTACTATTTAAAAAGTGAAAAAATAATGTAATGTTCTATTAAAAATTCGCAAACTCAAATAAAACAAGAAAATATGAAACAAAATAAACTCAAATAAAAAAAAACAAACATGTAAACTCTTCTTTATCTTCCGCTTTCGCACACTCATTCACTACCCAAAATGTATAATGTTTTTTACATCTTGAATACAAAATTTTGAAAGTATAACCTCAAAAGTTTTGAAACATGTATTTAAATGTTATTTGTAATTTTGTATGAGTATAATGAAAAAGGTATAAATAAATAAATGCATATTTACTTTATATAATATTGTAATAATAGTGAAAAAATCAAAAATTATGTGACGGCAGTGAAGTAGATTTAATAATGTACGTATAAAAAATGAATGAGAAAAGTTACTGTGAAACGAAGCGTATATATATTAAAATAAATAAAGTAAAATGAGCAAGAGCTGATGGTTGATTCGTTTATTTCTCTGTAACTTGTCGTATACTTTTCGTATGCTTTGTTGCATACCAATAAAAAAATGATTTGATGGTGAATTGAAATTTTTACCATGAACCTTTTTAAATGTTAAACAAGTCTGAAAATCTTGGAAAGCTTCCTTAAAACACTAACATCCAAATTGACAAAAAATCAAAGTCCATAATTTCAGGAAGTAAAGGCCCTTCCTGCGAGTCAAGAGGCCTTTCACTCTTCATTCCTTTATTTTTGTTGCATGGAGTGGCACAAATTGAAGAGCTTCTGCTTTCGCCACTCCAAGATGGACTTTTGTAGGACGCATTTCCTCAAATATGTTTTATCACGACTCCAAATGCATTTGCTATGCTATATGATAATATAAACTTATATATGTATATGTATATTTGCGTAAATTATAAGTAAGAAAAGCCCATCTAGAAAGCATGCAGGTAAACACTATTCAGCCCTTTTTGGGTTAGCCTGTCAGAATGGCTTCACTTAAGAAGGCCTAGCAAAATTATCATCTGGTATAAAAAGATTCGAAGTGCTTTATGAATCGAAAAGTTGTATGAAAGTGTCAATTTGCAGAGCTTTTTAAATCTTCTTCTAAACTTTTGAATGGTTTCTAACTGAACTTATTAAATATGAGTTTCTACAAAAATTATTGCCCATTAAATTTATGAAGTAGGCAAGCACTGGGGTATTGCGCGCCAAGCAACGATATCGTCATTCAAGTCCGTAGAGAGCACTTACTTACCTAACAGCTTCTCATTAAAGTCAATATTTGTGGTAATAAAAGCATTTCATTTGTTTTTTTTTTAATGTAACAATAATGGTTGTAATTTATTAACATTTTTGTATGCAAATTTGGTGAATAATATTTTTTTTAATTGTATGCAACATGTGAGAAGCGCTCCCATTTCTTCCCTATGGTCTTCACACATCATCGGTATCATTCTTGCTGAAGTCTCTTTTGCAGCTGCGCAAATGATTTTCACAAAACCAGATGAATACGTATGTATATTTTACAGTGCTTATGCATTGACTAATTGCTTTACTTAGCCATTAACCCTTTAATAAATGTGTAGCGGGTTGTATGCATTTGCATATTGGAACTCAAAACGGTGCTGTCTGTATACATGTCCTTCGCAATGACGCTTCATTTGCTACATCGAACAACTTAATATAGACGGAAGGGCTTAGGATGTATCACTTGTCCTTGTTTTTTCTTAGGTCCAGCACTTTTGGGACGTTTCTGTTCCGAATTTAGAGATGGCATCGAAACTGAGAGCACCAAACACTCAGCAGGCAGCGACATGGATGAGGTAATTGTGGTAGAACGTTGCACTTTTGGTACCTTCCAGAGCTGCAAGAGTGGTTGTTGAAAGACGAATGGTGAAGGGAGGGAAAATAGTAAAGAGAGTTTATTAATAAGCATGTAATGCAAATCTTTCTCAAGCGAGATGCTTCTATAAATTTGATGTGTGCAAACAGGAAATGTTTTTTTAAATAATTGAAAGATTTTAAATATTATGTGAAATCAATAAAACATTTTTAATTTTGTTTTTGTTTTAAATATAGGAAGTTAAAGCTATTAATTAAAAAATATATTTGTATTTTTATTTCGAGCTTAAAAGTTGACAAAAAACTATTTGCCATACACTTTTATTTAAAATTTAGTGGTTTTTAGTTTTTAGTTTATTACAATTCAATATATTTTTATTTATTACTACTTTAAACAAATTTTTCCAGTGTGCACACATTGCCAGTATTGAATAAGTATAGAAAAAATTGTTATGCAAATTGTAAAATTAAAACTAATATAAAAACTTACTACCTTAGCGAGTTGCAGCAAATTGTTTACCAATACATTTCAAAATTGGCCGGATTTCGATTTGCTTTGGCTTGCAAATATATAAAATGTTGCTGGTGTAAAAATGCATATTTTTTTTGTTTTATTAACTAACGGTGTACATGTATTTGCAGTGGTGGCATCAAAATGCTTCTACGTTAGATATTCCCGATGAAGAGGTGTTTCTTTAAGTCTCATTTTTAGTGGCTAAAATTTTCTACTAAAAAAATAAGTAATATGCGTCCAAAAATCTGCAATTTCTTAATGCTTATCAGTTTATATGGAAAAATAGTGCAAAATATTTCAAAAATAAATCAATGTTATTGGTTCCAATTTCGGTTTACAATTTCAATTTCCAATTGATTGTAAATTGTATGTAATTTCATTAAGGTTAGATATTCATTTGCTTATCAAAAGACCTATTATACAGTAAAAATTAAAATAATCAACAAATATGTCGTATGTTAAGACTTTGGCTGTCTTCTTAAACGCATAAATGCAAATCATCAGTCCTTTTTATTTATGAAGCACAGCTGATGAAACTATCAGTTTGCGCAACTTTGCTTAACAGGGCAATTCCGGCTAAGATATGTAGCTGCAAGTCTTTTATAAGACAACTGAAAGACGTGGTGAAGCTAGTTTGTAAGACTTGGTTTATTCTGGCACGAACGTCTTACAAAAACAGCTCTTTGCCAACTTTCACGCTGAAAAGCTCGTTTGACAGAAAGCACTTGAGCTGATTGAATATCACTTTGCTCCAACAGTCGCAATGGCGGAGTGAGCAAGAGGATTATTTTTTCGTGTTTTTTAATCCAATTACATATTTTCTTTTTTTAATTAACTTACCAATTTTTTTAATCTAATTAAATATTTTCTTTTTTAATTTACTTTTCTTTTAATTTAGAGATTTTTTTTTATTTTTTATTTAAATTTTCTTTTAATTTAGAGATATTTTTATATTTTTTATTCTCCTTTTTGATTTAATTTTCTTGAAATTTTTTGATTTTATTTTAAAAAACTTTTAAGATAAAATTTTTAGAAACTTATTTTATTTATTTGTTTTTTAACCCGCTTTTATTATTTAATTTTTAGACTTTATTGTTTTCAAAAGAAGTATTTTTTTCATTTTCATTTAATTTTCATTTATTTTATTTTATTTAAGAAAATTTTAAATTTTATTTTTTTTTAATCTTTAGATATTATTTTTTAAAGAAAAAATACACTTCTTACATTTAACTTAATTTAATGTTTAGAAACTTATATGTACATGTCATGTATTTTTTTGAATTGTTTTCATTTCTTCTTTTTAAATTTAACTCTACAAATTGTTTTAAATAGAAAAATCTTTGTTTAATTTAATTTTTAGAATGTTCTTGTCTTTATTTTTTTCAATTAATTTTAATTTTAATTTTCTTTAATTTTATTTTTTAGAAAAAAAGAACAATTAAAAACATTTTTTTGTTAATTTCATTTAATTTTTAGGAAATAACTAAATTTTTGCAATTTTTCTTCTTAAAGTATTAAATTTTATTACTTCAAATCGAAGAACTTGTATGTTTTTTTAATTTTTTGAAACCTCTGTGCTTTTTTTTAACTTAATATTTTTTCTTTTCATTTTAATATTCCTTTAATTTTTAGATTTTAGTTTTGAAAATAAAAATGTTTTGTTAATTTCATTTAATTTTTAAAAATCTATTTTTTTTCTTTTTAGTTTAATTTTTAAGTTTTGTTATTTTAAATCTATGATAATATTCTTTAATTTTCATTAAATTTTTAGGAACTTACCTCATTACCTAATTAAACTTTTTAAATGTAGTTTTTAATTTTTTGTTTGTTATATAAAGAAAAATATTATTTTTTTATTTAATTTAATTTTAAGAAATCTATTTGCTAAAAGGCAAGCAGAAGAACACTAAGGGCCAAATTCACAGTGCATAGTTAACTCAGAATCGGCAGTTAACTACAGATTTTTCAATTAGGTCTTCGGAAGACAAGAGATCTTTCAAGATAGTTGCCATAATTGACAATTACCTTACGAAAGGCTTTTGTATTTCGAAAGACTGTGGTGCGTTGAGAGGCAGATGCCAGAATTGACTGTAAAAATTTGATTTCTTCATGGTTGTGCATATTGTACTGATTTGGAAATAAAAGAACCCTGATGCTTTGCATAAATACGTTTAAGAAGACAGCCTTTATGATAAAAGTGTTAATACTTTAGAAATCGAAAAAAAAATCCTATTTCCATAGAACTATTATTACTGTATTTTCACTGTGCATTAAATGACAAAAATGTTGATGTTTGCATATTAAAAAACACTCGCTTAATTAAATTCGTACAAGTTGCAATTGAGTTCGCTTCCGCGTGCAACGATTTTTGAAATTTCCATGCCTAGTGGAAATTCGTGATAACAAAAATACATACAAAACATTTTTTATACAATGTTGAACAAAACATGAGAACACTACAAAATAGCACCATAGAGGTGTTTTAGTTTTGTTTGTGGTTTCCGAAGTAAACGTAATAAAACATATTTAGCTCCATTATACCGTGTCTACATGTGGCGATATAGCAGGCGATTTTAGAGACGATTAGTTGAATCCAAAGTTGGCTGCTCCCCAACATCATTTAAAGCAATTAATTGAAAGGTCGTTCACACCAGACGATTGTTACTTTCAATGAAAGCACCGCATTAGTCAGACTGAGTTGTTATGAGATTTGTTTTTCCTTTGTTTTCCTTGGCACTGAGTGAAAGACTTCATCATTCAAATAACCCCCTCGTAAAGTCTTGAAAGCGTTGATACTTTAAGATATTTCGTGCCACTTGCACTTATCAATAGGAACGATGTTTCCTTTAGAACAAGCAAAAATATCATCAACAGGACTTAAAATATCTGCCACTGAACCAGTCTCCTCCGAATTCTTGAAATTTTTCCAAATGTTTGCGAGGTAGATTGAACATACTAAAAAATTCTCAGTGAAATCCCAGATCGGGAAAACTGAACCAATAGGCTGCCGGCTATTGATTGTGATATCATCAGAAATACGCACGTTGGTACTTAGATGGCTCAGAAATGGATGACAGAGATAGTGATGTTATTTTTAATCCTGGCACCAAACTTTTTTTTTAATTTAGCTAATTTCTTAGGCAGTGAAGTGGTCATCCGAGATCTTCCTTAGTTTTAGAAATTTATCTACTGCAGTATTTTCAGGATATACTTATTGGAGAAGCCGAAGCCATATTGGGCATTCGGGGCTGGGTGCTCTATTTGTGGATAAAAATTATCTCTCCGGTAGCAGGATCCCTTGTTCTTCTTATTTGGCACTACAACAGATTGTCGGTTTGGACTGAGACCAAAAAACTTTGCCAATTGCCTCTCTCTTTTGCGAATTTGCGCCAGTTCTTCATCCCGCGTGCAGACAGGTCTTTCTGCACTTGAGTCGAAGGATCTTCTCACTGGAGTTTTGTACAACATGCCCAAGCCAGCGTAATCGATATATTTTTATGCGCTTAACTAAGTCCATGTCTTCAAAAGATTCACCTTCCTCAGTATTCAGCGCCCACGCAAACAGAGCCATACATCTTGCGTACAATGGTTCTCTTGAGAGCCTCCAAAAGCCTTCTCATCTTTGTTCGACATCGTCCACGTTTCTGCGCCATATAAAAAGACTGTCATGTTGAGAGATTTGTAAAGCGTTCTTTTTGTTGCTTTGAAATTGCCTACTGTGCCCAAAGTAGAACCTGTCGGTGAGATTTGTATTCCGCTTGATCTCCAGGTCGACGTTATTGGTATGCTTCACTACTTCAAAGTTATAACTGTCAACAGTGGCGTGTATCTAAATACGCAAAGACTTTTTATGTGTTACCAGGAAGTACTTTGACCATTATTGTGAGTTGCATTCGATTTTCGATCTTCGCTGGTTATCGGAGATCGAATATCATATTGCATACGCCAGCAGCACCGTGATTTTGCTGCATATGGTGACAACGAGATTCAGATTTGCCGTTTCTTACTAAGATTGAAAAAGTCTGGCGATAGTGCATCGCCTTTTCTAAAACCTTATTTGGTCTCGAACGATGTGGTTTATTTTCAACTGAAAAAAATACTATCTTCGCCATTTACAGTTGTATCTTAACGTATGATATGTCTATGTTCTTGTCCCGATGAGAAAATTCTTTTAATCTAATGTTCATTGTGCTCAAGTACCCCATTCTAGTACTTACCCACCAGATCTCAGTTCCTACCACTTAAACTTACCCCCCTAATGCTAAGTAAGTATTTAATTCGAAGGCAATTTAAATTTCTTTTCTTGCCGAACTTAGGGGTCACTTTTTTAAATTTCTCGTCAAATCTTCGGTTCTTAAAGTACGATATTTCGATGTTCTTGTCTCGAGAGGAACGTTTTGTCTGTTTCAATGTTCACTCAACTCAAACAGCCCGTTCTAGTACTTACCCACCTGATCTCGGTTCTTATCATCCCAAGGTACCACCCTAATGTCAGTAAATTGAATCTCACCAAAAATTATTAAATTTTTGCTAAGAAAGTATTTGGATTAAAATAGTACAACTAGTTAATAAAAATTTATTGCCGAATTAGGTGTCAGCGACAAATGTAAAATGTGTCTCCTAGGTTCGGACAAAAAATCTAAATTGCAAATATGTATACATATCTACTTTAGAATGAGGGATGAAAGGCGAAATTTTGTCTTGTTTGCTGTAAGGTAGTTTGGCCTTATATACATATTATGTATATGTGTGTAGTATGTACATATGTATGTATGCTTTGGCGAATATTTGCAAAAAAGAAATTTTTTTTCCCCGATTACCTCAAAAAAGCTCACCAAAAACTCAAAATACATATAATGTTGCTTGCAACTAATAGTGTAAAATACTTAAATTTTTCTAAATTCTTTCAAAAGTGAAAAACGTGAAATTTGTGAAAAATGATTTATTATTTAATTGCAAATTGTTTGCTACATTTCAAATGCACACCGAATTTTTGATAATAAATACGATACAGCAGTTTTACATATATATATATTTTTTTTTGTGGGTTGGTGACAATACAATTTCAACAATTACAGTGTTGGCTCTTATGCATGTATGTAAATTTTTATTTGTTGTATGTAGGTATGTAAATTGTGAATTTTGAATTTTTTCATAATGTTTTGGGTTTATAATAAATATTCAATCGTATGGCATTAATGCTAATTATAGATAATAATGGTTTCTTGAAGTTGGTTTTTTGGTTTTTTGTTTTTAATTTTTGCATTTGCATGTTTGTATGTATTGTTTTGCTCTTATGTATATAACTCTGTAAATATGTAATGTTGTAATGTTGTAATTTTGTTTTTAATTGTTGATTTTGCTTTTGTTTTTATTTTATTTATTTTTTAATTTTTGTGTTTAATTAATTTAACTCTGCTGATTTAAATTTTCATCGGCACCAGTTGTTGAAGTCGTCATGGATGGTTGTGGACTCTGCGTTTAAGAAGAAATGATGCAAATAAAAAAATATCAAATCATAAACTATCACCTCAAGTTTAAACATTAAAACTCACTATGAACAATTTTTGCTAATAACACAAAGAAGAAAAAATCAAAAACAAAAGAAAAACACCAAAAAATTGTCAAGGAGCAATGCATAAAATTTAGAAAATTATTAGGAAATGAGTTGAAGCAAAGGAACATGGAATGCTGTATGAGAAATTACGAGTATATACCTATGTATGTATGTATATTACAAAATTTTGGCATAACATTAAAAACGATAAAAAATTAATCGCTGACGTTTGGAATACCCATTCGAGATGATTTAGAATTTACATATATGATACTATGTACAGTTGTAAGTATATATGTAAAATTTTTTATATGTATGGATGTAGGTTTATACGTACATATCTACATATGTATGTATGTATATGGCAAATGAGGGTCCATGGATCGCAGGTACAAAATGTTCAAATGCAGTTATTTGTAATAATGGAAATTGTTTAGTAACTTTTTTCTATTCGAGCTTTTCAAGCGGCTCTTGTCGTTAACTCGCAAAAACGCTATTATTAAAGTTAGTCATTTGCAGTCTGAAACACTTATTTTTTATTATTTTGTTTAATTTGTTTGGTAGGAGGAAAACCAAGGCTATATGTTGCTCGAACTTACGGTACACGATGGTAGTTGCTTGAATGACATTTTCTAGTAGATGCGTAAGTAAATATAAGCAGTTTTTCATGATAGTTAGGGTCTATCAGTTCAGTAATTCCTACTCAGTAAAACGTATATAAATATTCCTATAAATATATAAATAGTTAACTTATCGATCTGTTATACATTTTCTTTTTTATTGCATAAATAAATTTATAGTTTAACATCTTAAGCTAGCTACAGACGTAAGGACGTTAGGACGTAATTTTTAAACCATTTGCTTGACCAATGCCAGTTTGGGCTTAAAAATTTTAATAAATAAAAAAATAAAAACCTATATCTCATAGCTGGAGCGTTATTACATGAGAAAATTAGGAATTACCAAATTTAGAAGTCTAAGCTCGAGCAAATCAGAATTTATTCACATACATGGCGAACGTTTCAATACTACTTTTTTCGTAGCCGTTTTATAATAAGGCATGCCTTTCCAATTTTTCTTTTCTGATTCAGTAATTACACCAGAAATAATGCTTCACGTGCGGAGCTCATAGTGGCTGACCTCAGGGCACTAGTTCTTGGTAATTGATGCCCTACTTGCCAACCTTAACTCTCTAATACCTATGCCCGGTCTTGTCCTTCCCTCTAAGTTATTGTAGCGAAATGACAATTGACCCCTGATATAGTGCGAAGGAACAGTCGGCCTTAGACCTAACACTGAGTGTGAGCTTACAAATTTTAGATCTTCACTGTTTGCTCCCACTCCTGGATCTTTAATCAATAGCGAAAGAAGAGGGTGCTGGCTTCATTTAACGCTGGTATAATATGTCCCGGTATTTCTAGCTAACGTATTACCAATCCACAAGACAAAGGATTAATTGATGGGTAATTAGGCATTAACCAGCAGCCCTCTAACTACTTCCATGTCGGAAAATATAACGAACTTGTTTGACTATGGGTGTCAGGTCACTCAGAAGTAAGTACTATACATGAGACATAGAGTAAAGATACATCTGACCTATTGGCTAGAGGGAGCTGAAAGTATGTAGAAGTGACTGAAAGGATAACTCTCACAAGAGGGGCGTACTCTGCATTGCGATTCGAAAGGCGACATGGACAAATGAAAATTCATAGTGCCAAGTATTCGAAGAAGAATGATTTGCTTTTAGAATCGCAATACGGTGTAGACGCCCTGCTCCTTGAGAGCTCAACTCGATGGGCATAAGTGGTTGGATTTGAGCGAGTCCCTCCACATCTGTGCTCTAAGTGGAATCAATATAAGGAGTTGAAAAGTGAAGCAAGAGCAATTTTTCGCAATAAAAAGAGAGAGATCGAAATACGTGAGTGCGAGGAACTCGAAATACTGGCCAATAGGACAGGAAGAACGACTAATAATTATTTTAGAAACTTAGTCGATAATACAACCGGTTTCGAGGTGAGTGCGAATTTCTGTAATAACAAACACAGCGAGCTTAAACTGTACTGTACTGTTGAGCTTTTGGCAACAGCATTGTGTGGAATTTAGCTGAAGGGGAAACATTTATTTTAGAAAAACCTTGTGGTAGTTTAAAGGCAAGATCATTATACCTTCCTTCGAAAAGCTTCGCTTACTTTTGGGATGAAAATTGATTCAATTGATTTCATAGACACCGTAACAGATATGAAACAAATGAAACAAACCTTCTTAACAAAGCTCTCTTAATTTTTGGATCGTTCCTCGTTGTTATAATGAAGGACAAAACTTTCTCTGTTAATGATTTCTGGTCGGTTTTTTACTTTTTTTTTACTTTTTGTAGTAGAGGGTGAAATCAATTGTAGCGCATAATCAAAAAGAGTTCCCTTCTAGTCGCACTGGGCACATTATAACATTTTTCGAGCGAATTTTATACAATTTTTATCGCCATTGAGCGAGCGGCTGTTTTTTTTCTTTGAAAATCAGCTTTGTTCCAAACGATTGAAGTGATCTTGAATTTTTGGTAGAATTTCGGTTTCGATTATGAGTACATATGTATGTAGGCTTTTTCGTAGAAAAACTATTTTTAATGCGCAACACTGCTCCCTATCATGCTAAAGCTATCAATAGCTTCGGGAAATTGTTGTTAATGGCTTCTTTCGCCCAGCAAAAAGTCAACACATTTACGAAAAATACTTTTACTAGAAAAATATTAACTTTAAAAAATAAATAAATAAATAATTAGAAAAATTTTATTAATTGGCTATTGGCCAGCAAGTGGTTAACACTGAGGGTTAATGCTCAATTGCTCGAATTCACTTCTAATAAATTCAATTTCTTAAATATAAGATAATACCTAAAGGATTGCGTACTAGTTAACTTAAATTTAAGGGTCATGGCCTAGAGAGCCCATCTCACCATTAGCGCAGTTTTTTATATACTCGTTGTTGTTCCTTAATTGCAGCGAAAGTTTTGTTATTTTAATAAGTGATTGACTGTATCAACATTTATAAATTTTTTTTCTTAAATATGAGTATGTACACACACGGCAAAAAGTATTGACACAGAGCATTTTTCACAATATATGCTACAATTTTTATTTGATTTTTTTCTAAGCATTGGCCAATTGTAGCCCATTAAAGTTTAATATAAAAAAATGTAATTTTAAAAGTTATTAAAAATGTCGTTGACTTTTGAAAATTTTTTTGCTGAAGATGTTTCGCATTTTCCCATCTTAAGTAGTTTCGATTTTTCTTTTTTTTTGTTCTATGGGAGAAAACGAGTAGTAAAATTGTCAAAAGTCCAGAAGAACCCTGGCTACTTCAAACTTGCACTTTATTATAATATAATTTTATTCGTTAAAGAACTGCATACTCAAAAAAATTCTAAAATAATTTAATAACAAACAAAAAATTTGCATGAAAATTTACTGAATTCTCCAAAGTTTATAATTTATATTTCTATGTTTTTTTTATTGTAGTATGGACAATATTTTTATAAGAAATTTTAATAAAAATTGTTACGTATCGACGGTACTTTGGCAAAACCTCGTTTCTCAAAACACTTTCAAACAACATTCTCTAACAGAAAATCTCTCGATTAATAACAGAAAATCATTTTCAATACATTTTTTACTGGATATTATAGATTAAGTACTTTTTGGTTAATTAAGAATAAAATATAATGAATCGTAGTATTTTAAGGCCTATTTTGAATTATTCTGAGCTACGACGTTTTGCCAATGTACCAATGTAAATATTGCGAAAAGTTCTCTATGCCAATACTTTTTCCCGTGAGTGTATGTATGTTTCTCACGAATTTCACTAGCCTACAAATTAAAATACTATAACCTTTTTTATGCACCTACAGGTAGGTATGCATAGATACTTACTAAAGTACTAGTTGTGTAGAGAAGAGTTTGTGCAGGTCTTTGCATTTGTGTGCATATATATGTATGTCTTCAAGTAGGATCGTATATAGTAATATACAAGCCTACGCACATACATATCAAGTTGCCCATCGAAAATGCTTTTTTTTTTTTTGGAAATTTCAAGACCCTGCCCCGTAATTTTATTCACTTTTATGAAAAATATTTTTGCCTATTTTTATAGATTTTCTAAAGGTCATTTTAAAGGCCTATATATCTTATTCTCAGAACATATTCGGTCTTTGAAATCGAATCAAAAATAGTCATTCAAAAACTCATAAATCTACAAAATCCTATTTTCTGACCTAAATCGACAAGTTAAGGTCAGGTCAGGACCTCTAAATGACATTTAAAAAATCTATAAAAATAGGCAATAATATTTCTCATAAAAACTAATAACATGAGGTAGGGGATAGGGTCTTGAAATTTCCAAAAAAAAAAAAACATTTTCAATGGGCACCCTAATACATCTATGGTTAAGTATAAATAGCTAGGATTTTATAGTTTGTAATCAAACAAACAAACATAATATTGTCCTTTTTGTCTATATATTTATGTAATAGATTTTAATTTGGCAACGACTATACTTCTTGTCTATCTTTTTTTTGTACAATACTATTTAACGTTTATGTTAACCGTTTTCGCTCTGTGAGTATGTATGTAGTTTTCATTTCGAAATTTAAGTACGAGTAGCTTACTTAAAAACGACCTATGTACGTATGTAAGTCAAATTGTGTGCTTGGTTTTCCAGTTTTTGTGTTATGTGGATCGTGTACTTAGATTTTGAATTTTATTTTCTAATTCGATAAAAGATAAATATTTGTTTTGTATTTTATAAAAAAAGTGGAAATTTGTTTTGTAGTTGAGCTACTGAGCTAAGCGTTCTTGTGAAATAGTTTTTAAAGGTACAAAATCGGATTTTGCTTTTTTGCGCAAAATTTTGTGCCATTTTTTTTATGTTAAGCTTTTTTGTTTTTGTTTCGCGTGTTGCATTGCTTTTAATTTAATAAATTTTTTGTTTTTTTTTTGTTTAATTCCTTTTCGCTTGCTTAACTTTTTAGATGAATATGTGAATATGCTTGTAAATAAATATTTGAATTGTAAGTAAATATAATTTTTGTTGCTGCTGTTTTTCATTTGGCAAAGCGCGTTAACAGTAAATTCATTTAAAGAGCGATTGAAATATTTCATTACACACACAGTCAGAATTGCAAAGGCCAAATTCTAGGTGGATGGTGGCTATAAGACGGCCCTGCGGGAACTATAAATGAAAGTAAAGAGAGAAAAAAAAGAATAGAAGAACGGGATGTTGTTGTTGGTTTCTGCTATGTAAAGTTAACGAATTGGCATTTCTTTGAAATTGAATTGAAGTAAATTGTGTTTAAATTTAAACAGTTTGAATTAAGCTGAATTCTTGATATTTGGATTTTAACATTAATGAGAAGAAATAAATAATAAAATAATTAAATTATTCAGATCAAATAATTGGGGATAAAAGAAAAATTGATATTGAATTTAGAATTAGGTTTGTGCAAAAGTGGGACTTTTTCGTATACAGGATATTGATCGTTAAATCCTAAACTTAAATACTAAATATTTGTTTATAGTTTTTTATAACTTAATTAGTAATTTGTTAAAAAATAATAATTTATAAACACAGAAAACTCCTTTAAAAAAAGTGTCCATACTTAACCGGAATGAATTAAATTACCGCAGATTTGCATCCAAAAACTTGCTGCATATTTAGAAAAAAAAAATTATTTTTCTTCAGGTTTTTAAGATTTTGTATAATCAAAATTAATTTCCATCCCTCTAAAGACAATCTTACAACCGTATTCCATACTGCGCCTCAAAGTTTGCCGCTACAACAGATATGCGCTATAATAAAATTTCTAGCACCGAATATCGAATTTTTGTGGTACATTTTGCGGCGCACTAGAAATCGCAACAGTGATGTGCTAAGTTTATGTGTTAGAATATTTGTGCTGTTTTAATATTGTTTTTTTTTCTTTTCAATTATTGTATTTTTAATTTTTAATTTTTTAAAATTTCTTGCAAAAAGGTAATCAGAATAATAATTAAATTTACGGAAGACTTTTGTGTGTGGTGAGTTGAAAGATAGTTTCCAGAATTGCTCTGTAAATTTCTATCGCTAAATATCTATAAATTAATAATACATATATGAAATATATTATAATTAATCCGATCACGGAAACTGACTTCGGCCAAATCTTCGAAATCCATTTGCCCGACGGTAGTGACTGAGAGTTTAAAATATTATTCAACGAAAACGAAATCCTCATTTTCACGTATGGCCCAAAATGGACACACGGGTAGGACTTGGCGTCTTCTCTTGGGAATCATCTCTATGAGAGTCCTATGGATGTTGAGCAAGTGACCAGAGCAGCCGCCAATAGCAGGCGAAAAAATCTGCACACCCGCGCGGTATCGTCCTCGCTCTTGCCACGGCCCGATGAACGAAAGGCACGGAATGTGCTAAGGCTCTCACAGTCAAACGTTAGGCTTCCCACAGGAATAGTTACGGAACACTGTGCCATTGGCCACGTGACCGCCAGGTTCTTAGCACCGTAAAACTATTTCTGCAGAATTTGCGGAGCTGAAGAGGAGATGGAATACGTTCAACACCTTCTTTGCGAGTACCCTGAACACCGGAGAAAACGGCTGAAACTTCTGGCAAACTATTTACTTACTTTTTATAGAGCCTGCTAGGATTCGCCAGAGAATCAGGATAGTTTGAAGATATTTAGGGATAGGCATGGCGAAACCCTCTGAGCATTGTAATCAGCCTATGTGGCCTCAGAGTAAACTATTTTCAGAGCTGCTCGCTTAACCTAACCTAAACTATGCTTTATAATTTTATTCCTCCAACTTTTCTACCTTTATTTTCTAAATAAAAATTAATTTACGCGGCATTACTTTAAATTTTTAAATCACTCGAGCGGCAAAGGTAAGATAAACCGATTGAAACAAAAAAAAATATATAAACATCCTGTATACGAAGTAACCAAATTAAATATTGGTAACAAAAGAGAAAAATGTAATAACTTATAAGGAGTAAAAAAGGCGTAATTAAATAAAAAAAAGAAACCAATTCATTATTGAGTAGTTCCGGATAGGTTTTTGGTCTAATGTGGCAACGGATTTTTCCTTTTTGTTTCTATTTTAGTGCTATACTAGGCGTTTGTTAAATCAAATGCGTTAGTAGACCGTTATTGCCGAAGAGTTATGAAAAATGTTCAGTAAATTTACACTATAAAGTTAAATATTAGTTTTAATAAACAAATCGTTTTAAGTTTATTTATTTTTAATGTAGGTATATTTTTTTGTATGTATATGCGAAATGTTTGTATGTGTGTAAGATTCGGCTTTAGGGTGCTTCTACTATTTTTTTTATATTTTTTTTTCGTTTTTGTATGGTGAGGTAAAAGTATTCTTGCTACTTTTTTGCCTGCAATTTCTAAATGAATCAACTCGACAATGAACCAATTATTAGATTTTAATATTTCCAATAGTTAAGTGCAACTTACATAAGTAGTATGTAAAAATGTATGTATGTGTTCATGTTCATAGGTGTGAGTTATGCCATCATGCGGACAAAGCGCTAGATTAGGTGTTTGTGCGAACTTATTACTTAATCAATAATTACTTGCTTAATTTTATTAGATCTGATTACTTCTTAACTGAAATTAAGTATTTTTAAATGTGTTTCACAATTGCTAAAAAAATACGAAATTTATCCGAGCTGAGCAATGGTTGTCGAACGAACGGCGAAAGCAAGCCACTAATGCGTTACAGGGTGCACGAATTTTGATGTGATACATTAGAAAGTAGGTGAATGCGTACGTACGACTGTGACGCGAAGAGGCGCAGGGAGAGGACAATTTTACATATGCATATGTACATATGCATATATTTTAAGGCGAACATAAAAGGCAGAGTTTGCCAGATACATATTCTATGAACAGAAATTAGCCGGTAACTACATTTTTTGGCATTCATATAAAGCACAGTTTAGTTATAGTTTTGGACCTGAATGTTACCTGAAAATATAACTTTTAAAAGGCTCCCAAAGATTTTCTTATAACTACCGAAAAATTCATAAACGTCCCGAAGCATTTTAAAATGTACCGAGAATGTTCGAAAAGGTTCCTAATAGTACCCAAAAAGAAAACATTTGGAATTCCGAACAGTTCTAAAAATATTCAAAGAAGTCATAGAAAAAATTCCAAGAGCTCTCGAAAAATGTCGAAAAGTAAAATACGACGGCTCCCGAAAGTACTATAAAGAATTGCTAAAAATTCCAAGAGTGACGAAATAGTCCCAACAAATCCCGCAAAAATCATGAGAGCTCCCAAAAAAATTTAAACACCAAAAATAAAAGAGATCATGAAAAAAAATTTTCGAACAATACAGGAAAATAAAGCACGTAGCATTCCGAAAAGTACTAAAATAATCCCAAAGAAAATCTCTAAAAATAAAAAGCCAAAATTACCGGTTAGTTTCTTCGAAAAATAATATCCGGCAAAATTTGATTGCACCTATCCCTTTGCGCCCCTCCTCCATCGTCTGGTGGTGTTACTTTTGATAACAAAAATACTTATGTATGTATCTATTTTTAAAACCCACGAAACGTAAAATTTCTAAAAACTTAAAGATTTTAAAAAATTTTTTCACAAATTATATTAAATTAAGAACTAAAATATGTATGTAGGTGAAACTTAAATGCAAAGAAAAATTTATTTTAACTACATTTTCAATTCCAAGAAAATTCCTAAAATATTACAAGTATGCTTGTTCGTTTGTTAATCACATGGTGTTTACCTGTGTCGGTGGTGTCAGTGCAGTAGTATGCTCGATATTTTTCAAATAGTCCTTATCGTCAAAAATTTTTCTCTCACCACCACCGGGCTTGTGCTTAATGTTATCCAAAGAGCCCACTTTGCTTTGTGCCTTAAGTTCTACCTTTTGAGTTTGTATCTGAAAAGTAGTAGCACCCGAATTTTGAAAGAAATCATTTGCAACATTTTTACTTTTGAAACACACACACACACACGGATAAATGGTATCGTTATTTTTATTTTTAATTGTGGTAAGAAAAAGAAAGTATTAGAAAAGTAGAAATGAAGTAGACACATTTCATCGAATTTTTATTTTTTTTTTCAAAAAACTTTTAATAACAGCCAAATTGTGCAAAGAAAAGTGCGTATTTTTCAACAATTTTTACCAGCTAAATATCAAAAATCTAATGGAAGAAAAATTTTTTAAATAATTACAAAAAATAATGCAACAACAATTATTTTCCTTTTTCAGTTTCTATGCACTCACTACGCATCTACGGAGTTTGTTTGCTCATTGCGAAATGTTTTGTGGTGCCATTCGCTTTACAATTATGAATGAAATTTGCGAAATAAAAAAAAATGTTATATAAAATATACAAACGGTAAATAATAAGCTATGGACAGTATGTAGACATAAAAGACAATTGTTTTTTTTTAGCAAATCATTTACAAGCTACTTACATCCTTGGCAGGTGCGTTTTCCTTCAAGATTTGCGATTTCTTACATTAATTTTACATTTGGTTTTATTTATGCATTGCGTTCAACACATTTTTTTTGTTTTTTTTTTAGTATATGTAGTAGGTTATGTTTAGTTTTTAGTATGCCAGTTTCAATCAATCAATGTTTGTATAGTTTCGGAACATAAAATGCAGAAAAAGAGAAGAAACAAATAAAGTACAATAAATCAAGTACTAAGTAATCAAAAAAACAACTAACGCCAAACGCTGCTCCAAATACATAAAAGTACGAATACGATTATATACAAGTATGTATGAGTAAATAAAATATGCACTTAGGCGATACTTTAAGTTTTATTATGCATAGCTGGGGACATAGTACGTAAAAAAATATGTAAAAACAACCTACCACGATGTAACACTTATTTCCTTTGAAACACTTCATTTCAGGGTTTTTTTTTGTAAAAAAAGAAAACATTTTAAAAGTCTACTCTGACAGCAAAAGCGCTTAAGTTAACAAATTTGCCTTCAGTTGCTCGGTAAAAGTTGCTCTTCCTTAAACCGCTCTAAATTCAAAACACAGCTTTACCAAAATCATATTTAGAAAAACGCAAGCAGGGAAATCAAATTTCTGGGGTATGTTTAGATAGTTTATTTCGAATATATTCTTCGTTTCTTTTTCTTAGTGAATTATTGCAATTTTCGAAGACACACTTATGCTCAATCATAAACCGTTTAACCCTTCGGCAATTATTGGGTCCAAATGACCTAATTTTCATGAAGAAACTCTTTAATTACAGAGTTAGGCATTTTTAAATAAGCTGCGGTATTGTCTATTCGTTAAAAGCATAATCAGTTGTGATCTTGTAAAAAAATTAAAGTTTTTTATTTTATTTTGTTTTTGTAGAAGGTAACATAGCCTTTCCATACAGCCAAAGTGTTTCTGGGTCATTTTGCCCCAAATTATTATTTATTATTATATTAAAGGCAACTTTGAACCGGTGAACAACAGCACTTGCCGATAAAGTGTCTGCAAGTGATAAATAAAATATTAACTGAATTCATACTGAAATATGGTTTTTTCTTTAAATTGACTTATTTCTATCATTGGATCCAAATTACCCAAACATATTATAGGGAGGGGTAAATTCCAAAAACTACATTTTAACCAAAATTATAAGGGTAATATTAAACCGGTAAGCATACAGCTCTCGCCGATATAGTATTTGCATATGATAAATTAAATAATATCTGAATTCAATAATTTTTTTCTTAAAATTGATTAATTTCTATTATTATAAAAATGATTAAATTTCAAACACCGCAGAAGGGTTAAGTAATACTTAACATTTTCTTTTAATGAAATTCCGTTTAAATATTTTTCGAAAATTGGTTTGTTAATTTTTTTTTTAGCACTTGATTCGGTACATTAAGTTTAGCACTTTTTAAAGAAATCTTTAGTTGCTAAAATAGCAGAGAGTAGTGGAATTTTTAGTTTATTTCTGGTTTTATTCAAATTCATTTGGCAAAACCTTCTTTCGTCATTTGCTGTAGCGACTACAATGCAATTTAGCTGAAACCATTTGTTTAAAATGAGGATATGCTGCTCCATCTTTCTCCCCTTTTATCATAAAAAGTGGCTTAAAAAACCCGAAAGAGAAATTCATTCGTTCAAATCGGAAATTAAAAAAAAAGTTATATTTTCTAGAAGGTAATTTATTTTAAACTATGAATCTGGCAACATTGCACTGGAGGTAAGATAGAGCGAGAGAGAGAGGGAGAGAGAGAGAAGAAAAGGCGAGAGCAAAAGAGGCAGAATCAGCATTCGGACTACTGAAATTCGATCCGGGAGTAAATGACTCGAAAAATCGGGTAAAAACGAGATTTCGCAACAGATTAACATTATTTTATTAAATAGTATAAGGAATAATTTTTACATCTTTAGGTACTTTTTCAGTTCGTCACATTTTTTTTTTTTATAATAACACATTATTTGCATTTTCTTAATAAGAACACTTGCGAACATTAAGCTTTCAAATGTTTCGACATAAAGCATATTTATTCCTGTATTAGTTTTTAATAAGATTCATCTCTGAAAATTTTCTTTCGTCAGCGGCACTACTGTACGGTAAAATAGCCCTTGAAATGAAAAGTGATTTCGCAAGGAATGTTAAAGAGTAAAATCCTTGGTACCACAGAAGTTATTGAGCAAAAATTTAAGAAATTAATTATTTTGCACTATATTCTTAATGTCAATGGAAAAGTAAAAAAAAA